ACGTGGGGTCTCCGCCTGTTGTTTAGAGTTAGACTGGGCTACGTTCCCCTTCCGCACTAAATCTGCACACTATTCCGACCTGTGCTGCAAATCTATGTATTTTGTTGGCTTCTGACGTAGGATACCTGAGTTCGGAGTTCATTCCACTTCCATCAACTACCTTCCTTTAGTTTTTCTTACGTCTGTATCTTTTCCTAACTTAATTTTTCGTAACTATATCTTTACCCTATATACTAGCAGCAAATTGCGTCATTCAGGGCAAAACTTACCTTGAGAGATTCCCTTCTATATTTCTGTTCCTGGGCGTTCCTGACTGGAGATTTGTTTTTCAAGATCCTGGTCTCAGCACCATAAAATTTCGGCTCGTGATCTGTCTAGCTTGTAACCTGGATCCTTTTTCTTGATCTTCACAATCAGGAGTCACCACAGCAGGAACACAACGACTTGTTTTCAAGATGCGATAAGTTTTATTTAAGACAGGTTTGGAGAATGTAAAACAGATACTGCACAAACCTACTGGCAGCAATCTGAATTACTTAGGAGCGCAGTGACCTCTGACCTAGCTACTTGCGTCCCGCAAACCGTTCTCCCTGAATCATGATTTCCAACCCGATTTTATCCTTACTTTTCTAATGATAAATTACCATGACGTCACGAGGTTTGACCAACATGTGAGTCTGTTATGAAGATTGAGTAGTACCCAGCTTCTTTGTGACTTATCCGAGGTTCTGACCTCGTACCTTCAGGTTTATCCTATCTATTAAGTCTTTAATATATGATCTAGCTTCCAATTACAAGAGTAGAACTGGTTCCCTCCCTTGTACAATTCGTATAGTTTAATGCTACCCACTAATACCTCTTAATCATCTTGGCTGACTCGTGACAACCTTAACTCTTTACATGACTCTGAGATCCCTGTACTGTGTACCCTGTCATTCTTTATGGAAAACCAATTAATTAAATATAATTGGCCGCCACCTGCGCTCCTCATACATATAGGTATACAACGTGAGTCATTTCATCTCATAGTGAAGTTAACAATTTCATAGTAAAATAGATAATTATAACCGGATTTGCAACTCCTGGTTACAGTATCAATGTAAGCGCCATTTTCATCGTTGTCGTACGAACTTCGGAAGGTATAACTGACAAGGACATATTCCTGATACTCGCCCTACTGAGTACTTTAGTCTGGAGTACATGTTCCGGTACACCTCCTTCAATGAAGTGGAAAAGATAATATACATCATGTGCACATTTATCGAGAGCACTGTGAACACCGCCATTTGTATTTCGTCGTTTGACAAGCGATCTTGTCACAATTATCCTTTGCATAATCGTGTCATAGCGACTGATTTATGACTACCATTGTCTGCAGTACATTTGACTTCAAGGGCAATTTACCCTGTAGCCATGTCTCCATAACTTAATTGTCATTACGTTTTAGGCGCTAATCCCCGTTGTTAATCCTCACCAACATTTCATTGTATTTTGACTGTCAGTCAGCCTGGACTACCATATTACTTCCCTTTAACTACGGCTTTTTATAGTATGGCATTTATTGCCCTAATTGATCATCCCATGAACTGTGTTTGTTTATCACGCTCATATGTCCAAAGCAACGTCGTTGTCTCTTTGTCTGTCCATTGTTGTTCATTACTATATATGTGCTACCATTACACAGTTACTACGGTGTTAGTCAGGCTTGGTATTCCGAGTGCTGGCATAGGGACGACCTCGAGCAGGATATGCTGCTCGTAGGAAACGCCCTGAGGTGAGCTGGAGCTCCGGTCACCTCTTGTACGCCTGAGCTGGAAAGTCCGCTCATTGCTGTGTTTGTGTTGTCAGAGCAGGTATTCCGCTCATTGTGCAATTGTTGTTTATTGTTTACATGTTGTGCATAAAGCGTTCCGGGACAGTGATGTCGATTTTGTCCTTTATTCCCCCAAGAGCTAATTCCCCGTCAACATGCACGTTGACAATCGTATAAGCTCTCTCTGACGGGATTGATACCCTTCATGTTTTTGTCGTAGATATCGCCTTACATAGTCTCTACTACTCTGGTGTAGCCTAGCTTACATAGCCTCTACTACTCTGGTGAAGCCTAGCTTACATAGCCTCTACTACTCTGGTGTAGCCTTACATAGCCTCTACTACTCTGGTGTAGCCTAGCTAACATAGTCTCTACTACTCTGGTATCGCCTTACATAGCCTCTACTACTCTGGTGTAGCCTAGCTTACATAGTCTCTACTACTCTGGTATCGCCTTACATAGCCTCTACTACTCTGGTGTAGCCTAGCTTACATAGTCTCTACTACTCTGGTGTAGCCTAGCTTACATAGTCTCTACTACTCTGGTGTAGCCTTACATAGCCTCTACTACTCTGGTGTAGCCTATCTTACATATTCTCTACTACTCTGGTGTAGCCTAGCTTACATAGTCTCTATTACTCTGGTGTAGCCTTACATAGCCCCTACTACTCTGGTGTAGCCTAGCTTACATAGTCTCTACTACTCTGGTGTAGCCTAGCTTACATAGTCTCTACTACTCTGGTGTAGTCTAGCTTACATAGTCTCTACTACTCTGGTGTAGCCTAGCCTACATAGTCTCTACTACTCTGGTATCGCCTTACATAGCCTCTACTACTCTGGTGTAGCCTAGCTTACATAGTCTCTACTACTCTGGTATCGCCTTACATAGCCTCTACTACTCTGGTGTAGCCTAGCTTACATAGCCTCTACTACTCTGGTGTAGCCTAGCTTACATAGTCTCTACTACTCTGGTGTAGCCTAGCTTACATAGTCTCTACTACTCTGGTGCAGCCTAGCCTACATAGTCTCTATTACTCTGGTGTAGCCTAGCTTACATAGTCTCTACTACTCTGGTATCGCCTTACATAGCCTCTACTACTCTGGTGTAGCCTAGCTTACATAGCCTCTACTACTCTGGTGTAGCCTAGCTTACATAGTCTCTACTACTCTGGTGTAGCCTAGCTTACATAGTCTCTACTACTCTGGTGCAGCCTAGCTTACATAGCCTCTACTACTCTGGTGTAGCCTAGCTTACATAGTCTCTACTACTCTGGTGTAGCCTTACATAGCCCCTACTACTCTGGTGTAGCCTAGCTTACATAGCCTCTACTACTCTGGTGTAGCCTAGCTTACATAGTCTCTACTACTCTGGTGTAGCCTTACATAGCCTCTACTACTCTGGTGTAGCCTAGCTTACATAGCCTCTACTACTCTGGTGTAGCCTAGCTTACATAGTCTCTACTACTCTGGTGTAGCCTAGCTTACATAGTCTCTACTACCCTGAAATAAAATCTGTGTGGCCTTGGCTTAGTCAGTGCAGGGTGGTTGTTACTTCTAGCTCGGCGGCCTTGACTTAGTCAGTGCAGGGTGGTTGTTGCTTCTAGCTCGGTGGCCTTGACTTAGTCAGTGCAGGGTGGTTGTTGCTTCTAGCTCGGTGCCCTTGACTTAGTCAGTGCAGGGTGGTTGTTACTTCTAACTCGGTGCCCTTGACTTAGTCAGTGCAGGGTGGTTGTTACTTCTAGCTCGGTGGCCTTGACTTAGTCAGTGCAGGGTGGTTGTTGCTTCTAGCTCGGTGCCCTTGACTTAGTCAGTGCAGGGTGGTTGTTACTTCTAGCTTGGTGCCCTTGACTTAGTCAGTGCAGGGTGGTTGTTACTTCTAGCTCGGTGCCCTTGACTTAGTCAGTGCAGGGTGGTTGTTACTTCTAGCTCGGTGCCCTTGACTTAGTCAGTGCAGGGTGGTTGTTGCTTCTAGCTCGGTGGCCTTGACTTAGTCAGTGCAGGGTGGTTGTTGCTTCTAGCTCGGTGGCCTTGACTTAGTCAGTGCAGGGTGGTTGTTGCTTCTAGCTCGGTGGCCTTGACTTAGTCAGTGCAGGGTGGTTGTTGCTTCTAGCTCGGTGGCCTTGACTTAGTCAGTGCAGGGTGGTTGTTGCTTCTAGCTCGGTGGCCTTGACTTAGTCAGTGCAGGGTGGTTGTTGCTTCTAGCTCGGTGGCCTTGACTTAGTCAGTGCAGGGTGGTTGTTACTTCTAGCTCGGTGGCCTTGACTTAGTCAGTGCAGGGTGGTTGTTGCTTCTAGCTCGGTGGCCTTGACTTAGTCAGTGCAGTGTTGTTGTTACTTCTAGCTCGGCACCGGCCGTTGTCGGTAAGTTTGAATTGCTTATCACTAATGTTTGTGCATTGTCATTAATTGGCCTTTTGCCTTTCAATTTTGTCTATTTTCATTCCATTTGGCGTAATGGGCAAACTAGCGGTCATAAGATATGAACGGACCACTGAAAATCATTGATGACACCATTCGCGAAAACACTTTACCGGTTAGTCTTTGGTTACCATATCTGAAGTGTGACATTGCCTTTTGCCATTTTCTTTCTGGCAATAAATACTTTAAACACAACCAGACTTGCTTCTCGCGCACGGTGACCAGTGAAGAGAACCGGAAGAGAACCGGAAGAGAACGGGTCTTCACCAAACCAAGCTTGTCGTAGGGAGACTAACAGGATCGGGCGTCAGTCTCAAATGAGTAGATCAATGCTCATGACGTCAATCATTGGACTGGCTGTTCCAGTCTCGATTATTTACAGACCGCCGTCACATGGAGCTAGATCTAGCTAGGTGTAATATTGCTGACCGAATGCAAAAGAACAAACAAACAAAACAAACATGCACGATAGGAGTATAGTGTGTGTACAGATAAATAAAACAGAATATTACTATTTTCAAACCTTTTTTACCAACCAGAACAAACAATAGGTAGCGTAACGTTTTATCCGGAAAGGCCTTTCGTTATAAACTCTGCAGCACTCACAGGGATCGGGGAATTCCCTTGCCGATCCCTACACTTCACTGTAGTGAGTATGGTGAGTGATAACCGGGCCGTAATAAACCTGTCTCCGTCTCGTGATATCCCGTGTTGAGGAAGCGCATAGAGATTCGGGAACCAGCTTAAATAGAATGTCTGCGCGTGCGCACGAAGAATGGATATGACATCAGGAACGGAGGTTGGGAATTCCAGGATTTCAGTTACTTCGTTGTTTACATCGAACTTTGATAAGTTTTCGCTGCATATTGTAAAAGTTCGAAATAACACACATGAATAACACGCGACAAGGTGTGTACGTTATCAATACTGTCTATAGATTATGAAAAATATAGTTTTTGTGTGAAATGAAGTGATATATAGAGTGCTCAAACGACAAATAATGTCCGCAACGGAAAGTTCTGATGAATTCATCGTTTGTCATGATAAGGTCGGGTTGATCGACGCTCTGAAAAGCAAAGTAGAAAGGTTGTACGGCACAAGAGTTTTCTTTCACGAAGTATCAAATGACGGTGGCAAGCAAAAGAGATGGGTTTCCGTCACAGGAGGAAAATGGGACAGACAGAATGCAAAGGTGACTATGGGTAAAAATCTCAAAACAGACCCATTTTCTTATTATCAACTAGCCAAAATAAAAGTGTCCTTAATATAAGTTTTCTCTTGATATTAGAGAAAATGATACTTGAGAAGTACTTTCTAGATCAGTGCAGTGCATTAATATGTTTGATTAATTAGAAAATAATTAATGAATTAGCCTAATCCGCTAGGACATTCAACTCTGTTACGTATCACAAAATGGAAAGTATTTTTAATAGCACTAGGTTACTTTGAAATATGAAATCATATTGACCAATTAACTTTAAGGATGAATACAATTCAGTGTTAATATAAATGGAAACTTGCTAAATAAAATGTATGCTTAAACAATTGTAAGTACTCCATCCATATTTCAAAAGTTTGCCAAACAACAAAGTCATTTGAAAGACGGTATCCAAAATATGGTATTTTTAATCTTTTGTCACAACATATATTACCATTAATCCTAATCTAAAGTTAAAACTCATGAAAATATCAAAGTTTTTCGGCAATTGTCAAACACTGTCAAAAGAGTTGTCATCTATATAAAAATCCTGACGTAACAAAGTTGAGTTTGTTGTAACGGAGTTGTAACTCATACATTTTGTTATTGCTACATAGCATAAAATAAGAACCTTTTCACCCCTTTTGAGATGAAATGTGAAAATACATGTACTGTATTGTGTTACTTGCTAGGACTTTGGTACTCAATCAGTCATGCCAGAGACCATCTAGAGAATCTATTATATGGTCTCTGGTAATGCCTTATAAGCCAGTTACTGTGGTAATGACATACAAAACTAGGTCTACTAAATTACCAATGTTCAACCCTTTGTATATATATATAAGCACAAAAACAACACTGTGAGAAAATATGTACGAGTTCTTCCTCTCCGTTACGCTTAACAGCATTACAGAGTTGAGTGTTACGGAGTAGAGAAACATTACTTTTTATGCCTCGTATCCCACCATGCTTTGCATTTTATAGATCTATAGACAGTATAAAAGAGTTTAGATTTTTTATTCGGTACTTCAGGCCACCGGCCCATAATACAATGGAAATATACTGTACATATATTTGCATGCTGAGTAGATTTAATAATGATTTACCGTTCAACACTATGTTTCCGTTCAAATATTCATGACTTGGAGGAGAAATTTACCTATGCTTTTTATAATTTGTTCGTTTTCAGCTGACAAGTCTTATAAAATTCTCAGTAGAGGGTGGTGATTAATGTGTCCAAATTGTTTTTGATAATTATATACTGATAGAAGTGCTTTCCTTGCCTCTGCTGCTAGACATGCTTGGGCCATGGTCCAAGATAACTTTGGTGAGAAAATAATTCCTAAATATCTGTTCATGTTGACAACTTCTATCTGATGACCATTCTCAAAAACCACTTTTCATAACTGAGAAGAGAATCTCCATTCTGGAATACTATTATTTTAGTCTTATTCAGATTGACTCTCATGCCAGTATCGTCACATAATTTCTCCAGGGTCTTTATTTTCTTTTGAAGCTGTAAAGCAGTATCAGAGACGGTTGACACATCATCAGCAAATAACAGAGCAAATACATCAGGGATATGAGTAGATATAAACACACCTCTACCACCTTCTTCCTCCAAAATTGAAACTAACAGATTAAGGGATATGATGAAGATCTGAGGGCTTAAGATACACCCCTGACGAGTACCCATGGTACACTTGAAGTATGGCGATAGTCCACAATCATTTCTCACACATGCACATAGTGTTGAATACATCTGAATTATAAAATTGAGAAATTTACTTTTAACTCCCAGTTGAAGGAATCTGTTAAATAACATTTTGTGGTTCACACTCTCAAAAGTTTTTGAAAAGTCTATGAAAAGACAATAAAACCTTCCATTTCTCTTTGATAAATATTTGTTGACCATAGCTTGTAGGGTAAATATCTGGTCAATAGTGGAATAATTTTTTCTGAAGCCAGCTTGAAATTCAGATATAATATTGGTGTTATCACATCAATGTTGAAGTCTGTTGTTAACTACTGTTGTAAGAACTTTACACAATGAATTTATCAAGGAGATGCCTCTGTAATTATTTGGGTCTGAGAAGCTGCCTGATTTGTGTAGGGGACAAATAATATTCTTGCCCCAGCTACTAGGAAATATACCACTGTCATAAAGTTTATTGAATAGTTTTGTTAATAATGGTGAGATATAGTTCTTAGTTGCTTTAAAGAATTCGTTAACTATGCCATCTGGGCCAGGAGATTTGCTTGTTTTGAGCAATTTCAAACTTGCATTAATTTCCTCTTGTGTAAACGGGTAATTTAATTCACATAAATAGTCCCTGTCATCTGCATCTGTGTATTCCCAAATTGGGTCACTGTAGTCATAGCTGCAGTCAGAATTACAGTTCAACAGGTTATTAAAATGTTCAAACCACTAATCTACTGTTATGTTGGAAGGATTCTTATGATTTACTCTGCAGGATTTTAACACTTTCCAAAAAGATTTTGAATCATGTTCGGATGTACTGAGCATTTCCCTCTGTTTATGGCAATAATCTTCCTTCTTCAAATAAAATGTTTCTTTAAATTTCCTTTTACATTCTATATATATAGCAATATCCTGTCCATATTTCCTATGGAGCCTTAGAGCTGTATATTTCTTTTGTTTTAATACTTCCAGCTGATCATCCCACCAAGGTGGCTGTGGTGAAATGTCAGTTAGCTTACTACCTTTGTACACTTTTTTAAACTCGTCTGCAGCACTATGGTAAAGGTCTGTTAAAGTATCTACACTGTCTTCTACATTTTCTTCAATCTGTTTGTATATACTGTCACAGTATGTTAAAAAGAGATCTTGGAAATTCACCATAAATGATTTACTGTAATATGGGCACCATGTATACTTGGTCCATCTTTCTTGCTGAGCTGAATCTTGATGGGCTTCATTACCAATATGACTATTATTAAAAACATCGGGGTTGCTGTTGGATTCCTCAGAGTAATTAAGTGGAAAGTCAATAGTACAGTAAAGAGGGAAGTACTGAATTTGTGTGTCTGTCTGTATGTATGTCTGTATAAAAGAGTTTAGGCATAGAAAATAGGGCAGGGACGAGCCCCAATCTACCCCCCCCCCCCGGTACCCGCTGTAGGTAAAAAATGTCAGATTGGGAAACTCTCAAAATAAATGTAGGTACATGTATTAACGGAACTGGTGTCATGCATACACTGAAGTTATATCATTATGCAAACATATAAAGTCAGAAGGAATGTGTGTCTAGTCAGAAAGTTATGTGAACATTTGTCACTTAAAGTGTAACCATAGTGTTCTAGATAATTTTTGCCTTAAACAATGTAATAACCACAGGTCCTACTCAGTACCCACCTGACCCGAGTTACCCGTCCCAGCCCTATTAGAAAACATACTGTACCAGAGACATCTTGATGTCATTAGCTTGAACATTGTCCATAAATGTGGCATCTATCTATCACCAGCAGATGATCTTCATAGACATATTGCCAAAAGAGGAAGCATATGAGAGTTATCTTCCATAGCACAGTTATTTTTTTAGTACGTTGTAACAGAGTCGAGAGCTTTTTGCATGTTTTAATTTGAGTGACATCTTTTTTTCCTAATTTTTTTTTTTCAATTAGGTTTTAGATAATAATGATAGGATACATGTAATTAATGTTCATTTGAGTATCTGAAAAATAAGATATGTTACATTTTTATAATATTTAGATCAGGGACAGCCATGTTTTAATTAAATCCAGGAAAATATTTCCTCATAAACAAACAAATATTAACTTAAAAGAACATTTTATTAGCATTTTACATTTTAAGAAAGGTAATCTACATGATCTACTTGTGAATAGTCTTGAAAATGAAATCAAATATCTTAAAATACATTTCTGCCAACAACCTACTGTTGTACAGGTCGAGTGGGAGATTTTCACCCGTATATCGGGTAGCAAACCAACTGATACAACTAGGCCTAGCTAGCTGATAAATATTAAATGTTTCGACATGTGAAGATCTGGGGTAGAATAGGTCTTCAGCAACCCATACTTGCCGTAAAAGGCGACTATGCTTGTCGTAAGAGGCGACTAACAGGATCGGGTGGTCAGCCTCGCGGGCTTGGTTGAAGCATGGCATTGATCACAATTGCGTGGTTCAATGCTTATGATATCACTCACTGGATTGTCTGGTCCAGACATATAGCTGGAATATTGCTGAGTGCGGCGTTAAAAAACCAACCAACCAACCAACCAATGAAATGTTTCAAGCTCTGACGTCATATGTTTTCAGACAGCCATTTTATCAGGATTACTTGCGAACAGCAAACTGTTGTGATTGTGAGAATCCGTTGGACGCGAACTTGCAAACTTCAGATTGTTATCACGACAGCTAACCGAGTAAACTACATCCACGCTGTGAAACCAAATAAAATTTCCCTAGTCATGCATACAATGTTACGGAACTGAACATAGATGGTTAAATAGGTGACAGCCTCTTACGAAGGTTAGGGGTAGGACTGGTGTCTCGTGACTTTAGTCTACAGACTCTTATGAGTGATCCCGATGGCATTTTGTACTTGTCCCATTGTCAGGAATGAGCCGATATAGCCCAAACTGAAAATGTCTCCAGGCGACGGCCATCGTACTTGCATGAATGACATTTTATTTAATAATTCATTGGGTGATTTTTGTAAGAGAAGAGTGTAGTAGGGAACACTGTAAGGGTAATGTGAATAATAGTAATGAACTAGGGAGGCATCAACATGGCTTGTGACAACACACGGGGGAGTTTGCTTTTGAATCAGTATTGAATAAATGTAGCGGGTGAAAGTGGCTTGTATGAATGTTCCAGGACAATTTCAAGTAGCCAAAATATTTGTCACTAAACCATTTCACCCTGTTTTCTCAACATTTTTGTTTAAAGAATGTTAGGAGCAGCTATAGAATCTATAATAGCCACTAAACGGGTACCTAACCCTAATGATTGTAAAGCTAGGTTTGATAGATTGTGAAGGGGATCCAAGGACTAAGGATAGAGTTTGGGTAATCCAATAGCCACGAAACTGGGACCTGACCCTTATGATCGTAAAGGGGTGATCGATTGTAAAAGGGATTGCAATACAGTCTTGTGCATCGTAAAATATTGTCGTAAAAGAATAGTTATGGAACTGAAAAACTGAGAACTGGGGGCACACTACTCTGGTGTCATATGTCCAATGGCCCATGTCTTGCTTTATCATTACGCGTAACGAAATCCACCTATTTGATTGGTCCAAGTGACTGTCCTAGTGTTTCATATTTGGTAATATTTCTAATGACCTGTACTTTTCATTTTCCAGAGTTACATTCTTGGCCTAAGTGACCCAGAAGAAACAAAGGTCATTAAGTGCTCTGCCGACTTTCTTGACGAAGAAATTCTTGAAAACGTAGAAAAAAACACAAATGCTGTGTTGATAAGACAATCTTCCGACAGCATCAAGATCAGTGGTAATGAACTGGCCGTTACTCTGGCTCTGTCAGCCCTGGAGGAACTGACCGGGTGTAGCAGTGACGCCATTGAAGTGGACAGCCCTGAGATCACTTCCTGCAATGACCCCAGTTCCCAGAATGCCAAGGGCAGGGCTGCCTCTCAGAGACTGGATGAGAAGTTGGAGGAGACGTTTGGAGAACACAGTGGGTCACTCCACTACCCCGACAAAATCAAGCGGGTCTTTCTGGAGGTGGGACAGCGTCAGACGGAAGACGTGTCGGACCAACAGCTCCACGGCTCAGGTGTTAGGAAAACAGCATCTGAGGTTATTGTGCGAGCGAGAGGTGAAGATACAAGAAAGGTATTTACTGCTCCAGTATGCCGGAAGAAATCATCAGATGAGGTTGATGAACTTTTGGGGAAGACAATGGAAGATGGCGTGTCTGGTAGGAGACCTAGTGAAGAGGTTTCCACGGTGACGAAGCAGTTCACATCAGCAGCACACATTAGTCCGAGAAGGAAAGGTCAGGGGTCAGATGCTGAAGAGCTGAAGGGGTTTGCTGCATCTGTTGGTTACACAGATGAGGAGATTGAGGAGGGGTTTCTTTATGCTCCCCCACCCATGAAGCCAGCCGATTTCCTCAGTCTGTTGATGAAGGTGAAGGAAGGGAAGGAGAGGCTGGGCGTGGGGACAGATGCCAGCCAGGCTGGTGCTGAGGAGTTGAAGGACGATGTGGTGTGTTTGGATGACGACATCATGATAGTGGAGGATCATTTCCAGTGTGACGAAGACAAACAGACAACTAAAGGGGCCAGCAAACAAGGGGGTTTGACACAAAGGGATAAAAAGAAAAATGAGCAGAAGCAGAAAGACTTGGAAGCAGCTTTCCGCCAACAACAGAGCAGCGGAGACAGGACAAAACAAGTGAAAGCAAAATCACCAAAGCACCAAAGTGTTTCAGGCACAAAACGAAAATCAGATCCAGATTCGGATCAAGAACAGACTTGTGTGATGAAGCTTTGGGAAGCTGCACCAGACTTGCCTGATAGGATGCCTCAGATCCCACCCAGACAACAGAGACTTGTGGCATTGGCACAGGATGCGCGACATACGGCACTTGATGCATCAACACGGGTGGTACCTCAGGTACGACACGAGGCACAGCAGAGAGGAGGGGGTGCACCACAGCAACAACAGGCAGTGCCTGTTCCTCTCATGTCTGTCAACATGCTGAGAGTTGCGCCCCCTGTTGCTGTCCCTGTGCAAGGTTACAGTACATCAGATGGTTTGGCTCCAGGATCTACACAACAAAACATTCCCACAAAGGATGCTCTTCGTTACGTCATCATCGATGGGAGTAATGTTGCCATGTTGTGAGTGCAAAACAGTATCTGCCTCGTTTTCGCTTATGATGTTCAAATTTCCTATACCATTGTGCAGAAAAGTTCCATATCTCAAGAAAATGTCTTTACGTAACTATGATATCAAATTTACATGATATTGTTGCCATGGGTACAAAATACCAGAACAAATCACCACCTCCGTAGTCTAGTTGTAGAGCATCAGCCCGAGAGCAGAAGGTCGTGGGTTGGAAACCCGGCCACGTCATACCAAAAGACATTAAAAGATTGTACTTGTTGTTACCCTGTCTGGCGCTCGGCATTAAGGGGCTAAAACAAGGACAAGGACTGGTCGGCACTATACTGTGTCTGAGTGGGGTGCCTCATGGTATCTCAGTGGGCTACCACACACACGCACGCACGCATGCACGTTCATGCTCATCGCTTTATAAGTGAACTAAACGTGGACGCGACCATGAATTTAAACCCCTATGTCTATCCATTCCCTTTCATCTCCAGACTGTTACCAATCTGTTACCATTGGGCACGCCAGAAACCTAGGATTGTGGATTCAAATCCTGTTTTGTCACAATTATGTTAATAGGTTTGTCAGCACCTTTCCTGTACTCATGCGTTCTATTTAAGTCGTAAAACATGTGCATCATTCAGGCTTTCCTCCCGCATTATGCTGACACGCCGTGATATAACTCGAATAGTGTCCAAAGCGGCATTAAACCCACCTCACTCACTCACTCACTCCCTGCAGTGAACTCAGCACTTCTGCCACAGGCCAGCAAGATGTAATGATTCGTCAAATCTTACACAGTCCATTCAACAAATGTTTCATCCTTGTCATTTTTGAAAGGTCCTCAAGATAAACATACAAACATATGTCATGGAATAGGTGAACTGTCATTCAGAAATATCCTAAAACATTCCAAACTATTTCCATTTGCATATTTGTCCATCGTTTACAATGGTTGTACATCCATGTGCAGACATCAAAGCCCTACAGAAATCTAGTGATATTTTGATGTTTATCATGTTGTGTTTATAGATATGTTGTCATACTGTCACTGTCGCTGGTGTAGTAGCACATCCTATTTGATATCAGAGCATGTGAAGCTTGAGTTAAACGTCTTGGCCAAATTACCTTCCTTTGACTTTGCCAATCTGAGCAGAACTTTCGATTCATGTGCATAAAGAAGAGGGTCAGCAAGAAGGCGGGCACAAGTGATGCCCATGGGATGCCTACTTCTTGACTAAATATCTTTCCCCAAAATTGTACACAAATGTCTTCAAAGAGGAAATCCTGCATGTCACATATTGTTTTCTGAGATGGCATTGGTTTCATTTTTTGACAAATTGCTCTGAATATAGATATGTGACTTGTTGATGGCCACCATGTGTTGTAACAAAAGCCCCATGGATCAAGGAATCAAGTTTTCCCCAAAGCTTGTTGTGTGAGATAGTAGTGTACAAAGTGGAAAATCAGATTTTTGACAAAACTGAACTTGGTTCTTTTTGAGATTGTCAAAAGTCAAGCAAATCCTTTGAGTTTTTGAGAATACACATGGTATTTATTCCACTTGTCTCAAATAATTTATGGGAATATAGAGAAAGTCCTTCCTTGTTTGTTTCATCGTTGAGACAGGGACTTGGTGGTACAGTTGCAAGACCCAGCATCAGCTCTCTCTGTACGGATATATAGGGAGCTTTGGAATCCAGTACAAAAGTGGAATGGACGGACATGTCTTCAGGTTTTTGAGTCAAGCCAAATGTTGATAACTGATGCATGATTTTGGCAGAATTCTTTCTCAGTTAACATACTGGCCTAACGTGTGGCACTATGTGATCTGTCACCTGTACCAAGTTCTCTGATCAAACAAGAACGGGCTGTGCCCAGTTACTGATGCATTGTGGGGCTTCTTTCCAGTCACGGCAACAGCAAGATCTTCTCCTGTAAAGGTATCCAGATTGCTGTTGACTACTTCCTGGACAGAGGTCACAAGGTCACAGTGTTCATCCCCGAGTGGCGGAAATACAGGAACTACCATGACAACAAGATCCGAGACCAGGACATCCTGCTGCGGCTGGAGGAATCAGAACACCTGGTGTTCACTCCATCCAGGAAGATACAGGGGAAGCTGGTGGCAAGCTATGACGACAGGTAGGTTGTGATGGCTAGCAGAGTCAGTTAGGGACACAATGTTGTTAAGATCCTATTCTTTACTCCAATATTATCCTCTTTGTTTGAAGATCTGAGGACGTCTTCGGAGGTCGCATCAGAAACTTTCTAATCATCCAAACAGCATCAAGGCTTCTAATTTCTCGGTACAACTAAGCGAGGCATTCAGACAAGCACATCTGATTTCTGCTTCTCGTTCATCAGAAACATATAATCAGGTAGTTCTGAATGCAAAATATCAAAGCGGGTCTAATAATGTGGATATTATATAAATCACCGTGGCATCTACACCAAAGAGGAGTACTATCGTGGGTGTATTTGTGTTCTGTATGCTGAGGATTATAGAATCAGGGTGGTTAAAGAAAAGAAGCTGAATCATTTTATGAAGCTAGCATCTAACTGGCCCAAGAACCCACACAGCATTTATTTAGATGAGGTAGTCACAGATGATCAGGCCCCGATTTCTCGAAACAAACTTTAGTTCAAAAACACACTTAAGTCTGAGTTTTTACTCAAATCTGAGAAAACTCAGCAAAATTCATTTCTCAAACCAAACTGAGTTCAATTTTCGACTCAAACTGAGTTCGAAACCACATAAAACTTAAGTAAGCCTACATGGTAACTTAAGTTTTTATTCGGACAAAAATGGCGATTGCTAAAAGACGTAAGCGGAGATTGAGAAGGAGACAGGTTATTTCCAGGCGGCTTACCGATCGTGAAAACCCACTGGAATACATGTCGGACGATGATTTGTTCCTTAGATTTAGGTTTCGGGCGGAAACGATTCTTTACATCGTGTCACTCGTGTCCAACAGACTGCAAAGACCAACTCAACGTAACAGCCCCCTTCCACCCTTAACACAGGTACTTGTTACGCTAAGATTCCTTGCTACGGGAGGCTTTTATTCCCTCATTTCTGACTCCTTCTCGGCAATATCTGCACCATCGGTCTTCCGGTCTGTCCGAGATGTTTGCACCAGTCTATGTTCAGCTGCTTACCAGTTTGTGAGGATGCCGACAGGATCAGACGCAGACACCACAAAACAGAAGTTTCACAAAATCGCAGGTAATTCATCGACCTTTCAACCGTTTTAACATTACGTTATAAAAGTAAGGGGGGCATAACTCTAAGTGCAAGTTAGAGCAATGCTAAAATCCGGAGTTTAGAAAACGGAAAACGGCATTGTTTTGAACAGACATAATAGTTCCCTTAGGCTACATTCTGTAATTGTATAGTGTAAAATGTTCAGGTATGAATCAATATGAAATTACCATCCACCATCATCCTTTTAACCAATAAAAATAATAAAAAATAAGAATGTTTGGTATGTTTATCAAATAATAAATCATTAACAAGTATTTGAATTATCTGACATTTTCAAAAGTAGTGTGCATTGACCTTGATCATATCAGTAAGTTTATTCATAAAGCTGAAACTTGATATGCTTATTTGAGTAATATTTACAAGTATTTTGCTGTTCCATATTATGTTCACTTCATTTAGGAGGATGAATGTTTTTACACAAATACAAGATTCCAACCAATTAAAAATAAAATCATTTTCTTTCAGGATTTCCAAATGTGCTAGGATGTGTAGATGGCACATTTGTAAGAATCATAGGCCCAAAGGTGAATGAAGGTGACTACCTGAATCGTAAAGGCTATCATTCGATGAATGTTCAGGTATGTATATAAATGGTTCACACAAGTTATGTATTTATTAACACCAACAAAAAATTAAATTATGATTACATGATACCTAACAAATAATGGTAATTTTATGTCATTATTTACAAATGAAAGTATATTTCAGTACCAATGAAAACGGGCCTCTGCTCCCTTTCAGATGATCTGTGATGCAGAATACAGATGTATCAACTGTGTAGCAAAATGGCCAGGAAGTGTACATGACAGCAGGATATTCAGGGACAGCAGAATCAGTGTTGCGTTTGAAAATGGTAGGTATCACATTTGATTACCAGACTTTGTAGTTGCTATGAACATCGGTACAAATGACTCTTAAAAAAAAATACAAGTAACGTGAATATTTCTCAAAGCTGGTTTTGTCAGAAATAAATTATGATCACATAACCACTGAAGTTGTTAAATATTTCTTGAGCTGGCATGTTGCAATGTTTTCATGAAGAAATGTAAAAGCACCATTCACGATATTCTAGCATCCTTAGCAGACAGACAGCATTATGATGTGAAATACTTAAGTTCTCATTTGTATAGTGTGATCATGTCTATCAATTTATCTCCCCTGCCGTTCCAAATATTATTTGGGTGACAGAATTTCATATGTCATGTGTTCTTATTTTTGTATGTTACAGGCACATACAAAGTTTTTTTGTTAGGGGATTCAGCCTACCCCTGCAAAACCTACCTGATGACACCATTCCTCTCTCCAGCATCTAGAAGTCAAGAAAAATATAACTGCTGCCATGTCCGAACCAGAGTTTTAATAGAACAAAGCTTTGGCATCTTAAAGCGGCGATTTTCTTGTTTACATAGTGGCCTTAGAACATCACCAGAGAGGGCCTGTCAAATTATCACAGCATGTGTAGTACTTCACAACATAGGAATTGATAGGAAAGACATAATTAATTTGCATCATGAACCCTCTGATGGAATGGAAAATGCCAATGTCAATGTCAACATTGCTAATGACTCGAGTGGTGTTAATGTCAGAAATTATATATGCGAGTCATTCTTTTCATAAATCTATTTGATGTATGGAAGGTAAGATTTAGTCTCCATACCTGATGCTTGTTTTAATGAATGACTAAAATGTTCATTCTGTAAGCAGATACATCTTATGAACTGAGGTGTGAATTTGATGCATGAATAAATATGTGCATCATATGTGATTATATATACATGTGTAATTGTGTACCAAAATGTTTGATTTGTGTAAGAGGATGTGTGCATTATTAAGTGTCCAGTTGATGTGGTATAAACCAACTGTTTCCACTGAATTTTATCTGTATAGATGCATCTGTAGTAATGAAAGATAAGAACATTTTTGCATGACTAAAATGGTCAACATTTATTGAAAGAATACCTCCAATAGTTTGGCATATTTCATGTGAATGGACAGACAGACAGCACACATTCATCTGTCCCCCTTCCACTTCATAGCAGGGGATAGTAAATAAATCCACAATAGTATTTCAAGTTCAACATTTATTAACAGTAAAACATTAATAAAAATCAGATTATCTCCCTTATCAATGTTATCAATGTTATCCATATTACATCCATTCCAATAAATTGATCAAATTGTTTTGGGGGCCAAACCAAATATATGAGTTCAGTTGAAAAGATTAGGTTACATGTAATGCTATTGAACTCAAGGATCAGGAATATACCTGCTCATCATCACACAGGTTTTCATTTCCCTTAAAGTAAGAGTTCATTGAAGGAAATTGGCAAAAGTAGAGTTGAAAACAGGCTTACATTCAGTAACACAAATTTAGGGCAAACAATGAAAAACTAGCTTGCCAATATTTACTCAGTTTCTTCTCATATCTTCATTATCTAATAAGAACATTTCCCTTGTTGTGTGGTTATTTCTTCCTCACAAACGTTACTTTTTTTCCCGCTTGTACATGTTGAGGCCTCGGTTACTTTTGGCGCTGTATGTAGTATCCCAACCAGGGATATTAAGACATCCATGCTCCTGTCCCTGCAACACTGATGCAAAATCATATACTGCATATCAGTAGTCTGGACAAGTTGATGTGGATCACTGAATATATATATTGAGAATGTTATAATGATTCGCCTGTGATCATTGCTTATGAATCTTGTATTGATAGTATGTAAGGATGTCCATGGCCACCGACAGGTCATACCAGCATAAGATTCATTTTATGAGTCCCATGCTGAACTTGTTGGTGTGTATTGAACTGGTTGCAAGCAAAAATTTGGAGGGAAAACTATTTGTGGTGAAGGGGCAGCTTGTATTTCTGCAAATACATACAAATACATCTACTTTTATACTATTGACATAAGATTATAATGTCTTACCATTGTCACAAAAGGCACTTTCTGTTGGTGTCACTGCTTCTAGGAGTAAAACTGCAGCTGAATCCCCATCTACAGCACAATAAGTAATGCAACATTAGCACATATGCAAACATGTACTTAACCCTACCTCTGATGGTTTATACCTGTTTGACTGCACTGGCACTACTATACATATTAGCCTTGAATAAACCTGTCGTCTGTAGACTGCAGGAGACGCCACCCAATGAAATATTGTGTTGTTGATAAATGTGTTATGTAAACTTGAGATAAATTAATCAGAACATAATGTCTACATTTTCAATAAACAGTTCCATCACTTAGAATACAATATGTTCATTACCAGTATACTTCGGCATTGTATCAATGGTCACGCAAGACTAAATAATCTTATGTATGTATCATAATTGTATTGTAACATGTCGCTGTTTCTTGTAAAAAATAGGAGGTATTTTAACATATTTCTTATAGTGAGTTATGAGTGAATAATACAAGGGAAGATGGGGATATTTATTTATGAAAATGATGAAAACATTTATGAAATTGTGAAAACAATAATAATTAATAGCAAGTTGCATACAAAATACAAAAAACAAACAGTATCATTTGTAAACATACATCTCTGTTTCAAGTACCATATTGCTTCCTGACCTCATCTGCAAATATTCACAAATAACTGTATTTTCTGGAATACGATTTGCTTCATTTCAATATACAATTTTCAAATATGTCATTCACAAATTATCCAATATTTTCGATTATTAAAAAAATTCTCACTGATATATGTACTTTTACTAAAATAGGCTACTGTAACATTATATCATTCATTTTCAACAACATCATTAACAAAGGCAGGTCCAGAATTTAGAAAATTGGTGAGTTTTTGGCAGTGTTAATTATTATGAGGGCTATGAATACGTGTAGCCATGATGGGGTCCGACAGTCTCGGCTGGGATGCGTGTAGACATGCTATGGTTCTCGTTTTTAAAGGCTCAGTGTATCCAGCAAGGTATTTCGATTTCTACATTCAATGTTACATCCGAATATTTATGTGCATTAACTTACGCATTTAGGACCTCGGTAATCTGCTCCCGACGACTGCTCCTTGTTCTTTGCGCCAATGCCGCACCCCTTGAATTTTCCAAAACAGCGATCGTGTCGCATATGAACTCCTTCAACAAGTAGCTCCCTCTCCCCCTCGGTCCAATTCGGCCTCCTCTTGCCACCATCGACATTAAACCGTCGTGTCTCGTACGTTGACACTCATGTGCAGACGGCAAAGTGTTTACGGTCCAGTGTTTACATTGAAAACGGAAGTCAAATCTCGCGCCAAGGCCGCTTACATCACATAAAAAAAACCAACTGAGATCGGACTTAAGTCCTGAGTTAAAAACTCAGCTGAGTTTGATTCGAGAAATGCAGTTGAGTAAAAAACTCAGCTGAGTTTTTTTTGCAAACTCAGTTTGAGATTTGAGTAAAAACTTAAGTTTGTTTCGAGAAATCGGGGCCAGGTCTCACCTGTCCCCACCTCCTATGGAGATGTCATGACATCGGACAATACAGGGGAACTGGTGGCAAGCTGTGATGACAGGTGGGTTGTGCTAGCAGGGCCAGGTAAGCTATGATGACAGGTGGGTTGTGCTAGCAGGGCCAGGTAAGCTGTAATGACAGGTGGGTTGTGCTAACAGGGCCAGGTGAGCTGTAATAACAGGTGGGTTGTGCTAGCAGGGCCAGGTGAGCTGTAATGACAGGTGGGTTGTGCTAGCAGGGACAGGTAAGTTGTAATGACAAGTGGGTTGTGCTAGCAGGGCCAGGTAAGTTGTAATGACAGGTTGGTTGTGCTAGCAGGGCCAGGTAAGCTGTAATGACAGGTGGGTTGTGCTAACAGGGCCAGGTGAGCTGTAATAACAGGTGGGTTGTGCTAGCAGGGCCAGGTGAGCTGTAATGACAGGTGGGTTGTGCTAGCAGGGACAGGTAAGATGTGATGACAGGTGGGTTGTGCTGTGATGACAGGTGGGTTGTGCTAGTAGGGCCAGGTGAGCTGTAATAACAGGTGGGTTGTGCTAACAGGGCCAGGTGAGGTGTAATGACAGGTGGGTTGTGCTAGCAGGGTCAGGTAAGCTGTAATGACAGGTGGGTTGTGCTAACAGGGCCAGGTAAGCTGTAATGACAGGTGGGTTGTGCTAACTGGGCCAGGTAGGCTGTGATCACAGGTGGGTTGTGCTAGCAGGGCCAGGTGAGCTGTAATAACAGGTGGGTTGTGCTGTGATCACAGGCGGGTTGTGCTAGCAGGGTCAGGTGAGCTGTGATCACAGGTGGGTTGTGCTAACAGGGTCAGGTGAGCTGTAATAACAGGTTGGTTGTGCTGTGATCACAGGTGGGTTGTGCTAGCAGGGTCAGGTAAGCTGTGATAACAGGTGGGTTGTGCTGTGATGACAGGTGGGTTGTGCTGTAATGACAGGTGGGTTGTGCTAGCAGGGCCAGGTAAGCTGTGATAACAGGTGGGTTGTGCTGTGATGACAGGTGGGTTGTGCTAGCAGGGTCAGGTGAGCTGTGATGACAGGTAGGTGAGTCCAAGTCGTCCATCCTGACGTCAAATCTGAAAACTGTTCATTTATTTTATGAAGTCATCTTTGCAGTTTGTCTTCATTTCTGTCAACAGATATATCTTAGGATTAGCTGAGAAGGAGGACTCGGTGATACTGTCCAATGACCAGTACCGCGACCTCATGAAGGAAAAAGCCAGCTGGAAGAAAATCATTGAGGAAAGGTAAGAACTGGGGGATATACTCATAACATCATGTAGAATACATCCTACTCATAACATCATGTAGAATGCAGCCTACTCATAACATCATGTAGAATACAGCCTACTCATAACATCATGTAGAATACAGCCTTCTCATAACATCATGTAGAATACAGCCTTCTCATAACATCATGTAGAATACAGCCTACTCATAACATCATGTAGAATACAGCCTACTCATAGCATCATGTAGAAGGCAGCCTTCTCATAACATCATGTAGAATACAGCCTACTCATAACATCATGTAGAATACAGGCTACTCATAGCATCATGTAGAAGGCAGCCTTCTCATAACATCATGTAGAATACAGCCTACTCATAGCATCATGCATAATACAATCTACTCATAGCATCATGTAGAATACAGCCTTCTCATAGCATCATGTAGAATACAGCCTACTCATAACATCATGTAGAATACAGCCTTCTCATAACACCATGTAGAATACAGCCTACTCATAGCATCATGTAGAATACAGCCTACTCATAGCATCATGCATAATAGAATCTACTCATAGCATCATGCATAATAGAATCTACTCATAACATCATGTAGAATACAATCTACTGATAGCATCATGTAGAATACAATCTACTCATAACATCATGTAGAATACAGCCTTCTCATAACATCATGTAGAATACAATCTACTCATAGCATCATGCATAATAGAATCTACTCATAACATCATGTAGAATACAATCTACTGATAGCATCATGTAGAATACAATCTACTCATAACATCATGTAGAATACAATCTACTCATAGCATCATGTAGAATACAGCCTTCTCATAACATCATGTAGAATACAATCTACTCATAGCATCATGCATAATAGAATCTACTCATAACATCATGCATAATAGAATCTACTCATAACATCATGTAGAATACAATCTACTGATAGCATCATGTAGAATACAATCTACTCATAGCATCATGTAGAATACAGCCTTCTCATAACATCATGTAGAATACAATCTACTCATAGCATCATGCATAATAGAATCTACTCATAACATCATGTAGAATACAATCTACTGATAGCATCATGTAGAATACAATCTACTCATAACATCATGTAGAATACAATCTACTCATAGCATCATGTAGAATACAATCTACTCATAGCTTCATGTAGAATACTGCCTACTCATAGCATCATGTAGAATACAATCTACTCATAACATCATGTAGAATACAATCTACTCATAACATCATGTAGAATAAAGTCTAGTCATAGCTTCATGTAGAATACTGCCTACTCATAGCATCATGTAGAATACAATCTACTCATAACATCATGTAGAATAGAATCTACTGATAGCATCATGTAGAATAAAGCCTACTCATAACATCATGTAGAAGGCAGCCTACTCATAACATCATGTAGAATACAATCTACTCATAGCATCATGTAGAATACAATCTACTCATAGCATCATGTAGAATACAATCTACTCATAGCATCATGTAGAATACAATCTACTCATAGCATCATGTACAGAGCTCCAAATAAGCTTTTGTTGTTGTTGGTATTTTACCCATGCATTTTAAAATCATTGGGTATCAGTAATTCTATCTGGGTATTCAAATTTCTGTTACGCACTAGTTTTTACACATGTGGGTATTTAAGTTAAATAATTAAAAACACTATTCATCTAGGCCCTGCAAACTGGTTTCATGTGGGTTCGAGAGCTTTATAGGACTCAAAATACCACGATACTTCCACAAGAAAGTGTGATGGCAAATGATCATGATGTAACTGTCATCTCGGACTATGGCAATCGAATGCGCAGGGTTACTTCACAATATTTTGATGATACGCACAAGTTTTATTTTTGTAGCGTATCTGTAATGTTCGTTGCGTATTTGATACACTTTGATTTGATTTTACTGCGTATTTCTGCATTTCTGATGCGTATTTTACGCAGATACACAGCTTATCGGGAGCTCTGATGTAGAAGGCAGCCTACTCATAACATCACGAAGAATACAATCTACTCATAACATCATGTAGAATACGGCCTTCTCATAACATCATGTAGAATACAATCTACTCATAGCATCATGTAGAAGGCAGCCTACTCATAACATCATGTGGAATACAATCTACTCATAGCATCATGTAGAATACAATCTACTCATAGCATCATGTAGAAGGCAGCCTACTCATAACATCATGTAGATGGCAGCCTACTCATAACATCATGAAGAATAGAGCCTACTCATAACATCATGTAGAATACAATCTACTGATAGCATCATGTAGAATACAATCTACTGATAGCATCATGTAGAATACAATCTACTGATAGCATCATGTAGAATACAATCTACTGATAGCATCATGTAGAAGGCAGCCTACTCATAACATCATGTAGAATACAATCTACTCATAACATCATGTAGAATACAATCTACTCATAGCATCATGTAGAAGGCAGCCTACTCATAACATCATGTAGATGGCAGCCTACTCATAACATCATGTAGAATAGAATCTACTGATAGCATCATGTAGAATACAATCTACTGATAGCATCATGTAGAATACAATCTACTCATAGCATCATGTAGAATACAATCTACTGATAGCATCATGTAGAATACAATCTACTGATAGCATCATGTAGAATACAATCTACTGATAGCATCATGTAGAATACAATCTACTGATAGCATCATATAGCCACAGTTAACTGGATGAAGCCAGATGTACAATAAGGATAAGGATTAAAAAGGTTGTGACAAGCTGATTTGATGCTTGTTGAAAAGTCTTTTGCTTAATTACATCTTCACAGGCAGGCAATATGTAATACCCTTGATCTCTGTTAGTGAAAGGTCTGTGATGGTGGATTTCTAGAGCGTCTGAGTTTCCTTGTAGTGAGGGGAGTTTTGTTGAGGGGAGATGATGCCAGTCTTGGGTTTAGGGGGATGGCTACTAGCTGTGCTACTTGTTATCTATTAAGGTCATCTGAGTTTCCTTGTAGTGAGGGGAGTTTTGTTGAGGGGAGATGATGCCAGACTTGGGTTTAGGGGGAAGGCTACTAGCTGGCTACTTGTTATCTATTAAGGTCATCTGAGTTTCCTTGTAGTGGGGGGAGTTTTGTTGAGGGGAGATGATGCCAGACTTGGGTTTTGGGGGATGGCTACTAGCTGTGCTACTTGTTATCTATTAAGGTCATCTGAGTTTCCTTGTAGTGAGGGGGAGTTTTGTTGAGGGGGGATGGTGCCAGACTTGGGTTTAGGGGGAAGGCTACTAGCTGGCTACTTGTTATCTATTAAGGTCATCTGAGTTTCCTTGTAGTGAGGGGAGTTTTGTTGAGGGGAGATGATGCCAGACTTGGGTTTTGGGGGATGGCTACTAGCTGTGCTACTTGTTATCTATTAAGGTCATCTGAGTTTCCTTGTAGTGGGGGGAGTTTTGTTGAGGGGAGATGATGCCAGACTTTGGTTTAGGGGGATGGCTACTAGCTGTGCTACTTGTTATCTATTAAGGTCATCTGAGTTTCCTTGTAGTGAGGGGAGTTTTGTTGAGGGGAGATGATGCCAGACTTGGGTTTAGGGGGATGGCTACTAGCTGTGCTACTTGTTATCTACTAAGGTCTTATGCATAAAGTGGAACCCTGAATTTGTTTCAGATTGCTGATGTATAGATTTGTGGGTGATCACTTCATGCCGGCGGAAGACCCGCTTGGAAGGCACGGACCGATGCTGGATGAATTCCTGAGAAAACATCCACAGGCTCCACGAACAGGCGTTCCAGCACAGCCAAGGTAAGGGTAGTAACAGTAGGTAGAACAGCCATAGTTGTAAGGGGAGTAACAGTAGGTAGAAGAGTCACAGTTGTAAGGGGAGTAACAGTAGGTAGAACAGCCACGGTAAGGGGAGTAAAAGTAGGTAGAACAGTCACAGTTGTAAGGGGAGTAACAGTGGGTAGAACAGCCACGGTAAGGGGAGTAAAAGTAGGTAGAACAGTCACAGTTGTAAGGGGAGTAACAGTGGGTAGAACAGTCACAGTTGTAAGGGGAGTAACAGTGGGTAGAACAGCCATAGTTGTAAGGGGAGTAACAGTAGGTAGAACAGTCACAGTTGTAAGGGGGGTAACAGTAGGTAGAACAGTCACAGTTGTAAGGGGAGTAACAGTAGGTAGAACAGTCACAGTTGTAAGGGGAGTCACAGTAGGTAGAACAATCACAGTTGTAAGGGGAGTAACAGTAGGTAGAACAGTCACAGTTGTAAGGGGAGTAACAGTAGGTAGAACAGTCACAGTTGTAAGGGGAGTAACAGTAGGTAGAACAGTCACAGTTGTAAGGGGAGAAACAGTAGGTAGAACAGCCATAGTTGTAAGGGGAGTAACAGTAGGTAGAACAGTCACAGTTGTAAGGGGAGAAACAGTAGGTAGAACAGTCACAGTTGTTAGGGGAGTAACAGTAGGTAGAACAGTCACAGTTGTAAGGGGAGTAACAGTAGGTAGAACAGTCACAGTTGTAAGGTGAGAAACAGTAGGTAGAACAGTCACAGTTGTAAGGGGAGTAACAGTAGGTAGAACAGTCACAGTTGTAAGGGGAGTAACAGTAGGTAGAACAGTCACAGTTGTAAGGGGAGAAACAGTAGGTAGAACAGTCACAGTTGTAAGGGGAGAAACAGTAGGTAGAACAGCCACCATTGTAAGGGGAGTAACAGTAGGTAGAACAGTCACAGTTGTAAGGGGAGAAACAGTAGGTAGAACAGTCACAGTTGTAAGGGGAGAAACAGTAGGTAGAACAGCCACAGTTGTAAGGGGAGAAACAGTAGGTAGAACAGTCACGGTAAGGGGAGTAACAGTAGGTAGAACAGTCACTGTTGCAAGGGGAGTAACAGTAGGTAGAACAGCCACGGTAAGGGGAGTAACAGTAGGTAGAACAGTCACTGTTGCAAGGGGAGTAACAGTAGGTAGAACAGTCACAGTTGTAAGGGTAGTAACAGTAGGTAGAACAGCCATAGTTGTTAGGGGAGTAACAGTAGGTAGAACAGCCATAGTTGTAAGGGGAGTAACAGTAGGTAGAACAGTCACAGTTGTAAGGGGAGTAACAGTAGGTAGAACAGTCACAGTTGTAAGGGGAGTAACAGTAGGTAGAACAGCCATAGTTGTAAGGGGAGAAACAGTAGGTAGAACAGCCATAGTTGTAAGGGGAGTAACAGTAGGTAGAACAGCCATAGTTGTAAGGGGAGTAACAGTAGGTAGAACAGTCACAGTTGTAAGGGGAGAAACAGTAGGTAGAACAGTCACAGTAAGGGGAGTAACAGTAGGTAGAACAGTCACTGTTGCAAGGGGAGTAACAGTAGGTAGAACAGTCACAGTTGTAAGGGGAGAAACAGTAGGTAGAACAGTCACAGTTGTAAGGGGAGAAACAGTAGGTAGAACAGTCACAGTTGTAAGGGGAGAAACAGTAGGTAGAACAGCCATAGTTGTAAGGGGAGTAACAGTAGGTAGAACAGCCATAGTTGTAAGGGGAGTAACAGTAGGTAGAACAGTCACAGTTGTAAGGGGAGAAACAGTAGGTAGAACAGTCACAGTAAGGGGAGTAACAGTAGGTAGAACAGTCACTGTTGCAAGGGGAGTAACAGTAGGTAGAACAGTCACAGTTGTAAGGGGAGAAACAGTAGGTAGAACAGTCACAGTTGTAAGGGGAGAAACAGTAGGTAGAACAGTCACAGTTGTAAGGGGAGAAACAGTAGGTAGAACAGCCATAGTTGTAAGGGGAGTAACAGTAGGTAGAACAGTCACAGTTGTAAGGGGAGAAACAGTAGGTAGAACAGTCACAGTTGTTAGGGGAGTAACAGTAGGTAGAACAGCCACCGTTGTAAGGGGAGTAACAGTAGGTAGAACAGCCATAGTTGTAAGGGGAGAAACAGTAGGTAGAACAGCCACCGTTGTAAGGGGAAAAACAGTAGGTAGAACAGCCATAGTTGTAAGGGGAGTAACAGTAGGTAGAACAGTCACAGTTGTTAGGGGAGTAACAGTGGGTAGAACAGCCATAGTTGTAAGGGGAGTAACAGTAGGTAGAACAGCCACAGTTGTAAGGGGAGTAACAGTAGGTAGAACAGTCACAGTTGTAAGGGGAGAAACAATAGGTAGAACAGCCACAGTTGTAAGGGGAGTAACAGTAGGTAGAACAGTCACAGTTGTAAGGGGAGAAACAGAAGGTAGAACAGTCACAGTTGTAAGGTGAGTAACAGTAGGTAGAACAGTCACAGTTGTAAGGGGAGTAAGTGGAGTAACAGTAGGTAGAACAGCCACGGTAAGGGGAGAAACAGTTGGTAGTTTCCTAAGTATTTCGTTTTTAATTTCTATATCCTTTGAGGTGTCAAACAATGCTTCGATATGTTTTTGTCAGTCGTTTTCTCTCTGTTCTTCCTTTCTTTTTGATAGAGGAACTATGGTAATTCTCTTTTGCTCTTTTTCATTTAATGTATAATAAGTATGCATCATGCTTTGTAGTTAATTTCCAGTATGAAAGGATTCCAAGAATGTATGTTGTGCTAAGCATTGATTATCCCACACTAGACTGAAATATATTTGGAGAAACATGTGTTCATTTCAAACATAATGCATCCTCATGGGGTGACAAAGGAAAGGGCAGTTCCTCTGACTTAAAGCAACAGGTATATTTTATTTATTAACAAACTATTTACTATTTGTTGTTGACCAGCGGGGATAACGGGGGTATGTGAGCTTTGCTCACTTCTTTCTTGTTTCTCTGGCATTTAGGTTGTTTAAGTTTTTATAGTTATACAAATCAATCTCCACAGATGTAGCAGTGATCTGACTAAAACTCATTGACAATATCTATTATTTTTTCGAAGAATGCTGGCGTGTCGGTATTTGGGCCGTACAAGTTGATTAGAGTAAATATTTTTTCTCAGGGTTGCATTTTAAGCGCAAGAAAATTACCAAATTCATTATCATGAACTTCTTTCAATATTTTAAATTCAAAGTTTTCTTCAAACATAATAGCTACCCCTCGGGCGTTACTTTTATAACAACTAAATATACAATGTTTTGATCCCCATTCTTGTTTAATTTTATTTTCTATGTTCTAAGTGAAATGGGTGTCCTGCAGGCAATATATATTTGCTTTGTTCTTTTTCAAATTTAAAAAAAACATCTCTACGCTTTTTGTTGTTGTTCAGGCCTTGGCAGTTTGTGCTGATTATTTTTATATTGTCAACCATTTTCTGATCTTGCAATGTCATAATTTTGCATGAGAACTCGATAGATGAGAGTATGTTGTGTACACGGTATAACAAGAAAGGAATAAAAAAACAAGAAAGTAAGAAACAGATAGAATTTTTATTTATAATCATATCCAAATGTATGATAGACCTCAAATATTATTTGTTACTTTTGTTAATAATTTTAAAGATGTTGCAAACACGGAACAATGTATCAAGTTGCAATTACAAGGGGTGATGAAACCTCCCTGTCTGTTAGGTAGGTTTTGCATATGTAATGAATCTAATCAATAGCTCTGTAGACAACTACACAAAAAGTATATCATAAATGGGATATTCCATGTGTCAAGTGAAATATCATGTTCCTCTCATTGAGTGATAGGGAAAGGAGGTATTTTCACGAGTGGCAGAGCCTTACATAACATCCCCTCTATTCGACCAGTTCTGTGTGTGTAGCCTTTCAGTATGTCTTCTATTACCGGTACATGTTTTCTATAATCTGTGATCTGTGTTCTATTTTCTATGCTCTGTGTTCTGTGACTGTCATGTGATCTGTGTTCTATAATTTGTGATCTGTGTTCTGTGACTGTCATCTGATCTGTGTTCTATAATCTGTGATCTGTGTTCTATGACTGCCATGTGATCTGTGTTCTATAATCTGTGATCTGTGTTCTGTGACTGTCATGTGATCTGTGTTCCAGGTACCCCCCTCCGGCCCAGTTTGGAGGCAGACAGCCACAGCAGGTTGTGAATGTGGGCAACCACTTTCCCATTGGACATTGGGGAGCTGATGGTGTCGCCCACCACCATACAGATCACCATGGCAACATGGCCAATGGGGGAAGTGTCTGGCAGACAAGGGGGAGACAACCACCGCCCCGAGTACATAACGCCGACAGAGAGGAGCCGCCAAAACGCATTCCTAGTGTCACTGAAGACTTGTTCTTACATTTGAAAAGTGTTTTTCCGGAAAAATCTCAAGAAGACTCCATCAGAAAAGTTTTAGATAACCACAGCAGTGAGACTGATTTGAACAGACTAACCAACTATTGCATGGAAGTGATTTTCCAGTGACATATATTGGTGGTGCATATTGTGTGGGAGGGAGATCCTGTGTGGTGCCCATGATTGTTGACCTTGATTGAATACAATTACCTGTGCTTATTAGAAGTATTTGATAAGGACGAGGATGCTGATGTAGGCGAGTTCACTCATAAAGGGACTAATTGATGATAATCTTAAATACTAGTTACTTCATGTTATTTATACTTCATATACTTGATGGTCTTCAGTGTTCGAGACATAGTGCTGTTGTGTGCAGAAACAGTATTTCGAACAACGCTTTCTTTTTATACACGTTTTACACAAACAGATGAAAGTATAGTGAAAAACAATACTAAAGTAAATTGATTTGAAATAAGTTTTAGGGAGACATGTATTTTGGAGGATTTTTTTCATTATTGCTTATTGAAATATTTTGTGTCATTTAACAATTGTTCATGGTATGGCTTTATTAATGACTCACAGTTATATACACCAAAATCGTTTCATATGAATTTTATATATTAGAGCTGTATATACAAGACATAATGCATTCCATATCTCACTTATCTGTGTACGTCAAATCTGACAGGCAGCAATTGTAACTTGCTGCACCGATGACAAATGAAGTGGTCTTGAATATTTATTGTGGGTACTTCTACAGGAGATAAGCTGACATCGTTACTCAATTGACTGGCCAATCCAAAATTGACAAAACATTAGAATTTTGTTTCAGCTTCAAATATTTAACTTTTAGAATGTGTGAGATTTCAGTGGTCAAGACGGAAAATTAAAAAGAGCTAAATTAATTTGTGTTTCTATCATTATGGTTGAATTGTGTAGCTGTGTGACACTATCAGCGGTTGTTGTGTATTACCCTGAACCCCGAGGACTTGTTTGTGTTTTATTGAGGCATAACTGTGTTGCCTTCTGTTCCTGCCACAGCGTTCACAGAGTGGTGTGTGCCTCCTGACCATTACTCCTCATGACAAAGTGAGTAGTGGAAATATTAACCTGGAATCTCGGAGCAGTATTATGTTGATGATTATTGTTATGATTTGTGGTAGTTCAAAGAATAGTGCTCTCTCGCCTTTGCTTAAAAGCATGGGATTTACAGGAATTTATTTAAACCTGCTCGGAGGTGGGTATTCAGCCACTGACAATTCAGAAGCAATTGTCAGACAACTTCCTAAATTTGAATGTTTTAGGGTTGTTAAGCTGTAAAAGTACTAGATATTGATATGGGTGACTTGAATTTTACTGACAACAGGACCAATAAACAAGAAGAGACTTTAATGTCTAGCATTGAATGAAAAATTAAAGACCTCAAGTCTCAATTTTGAATAGAATTACGTCTTTTTTCCATTTTGTCTGCAAGGCACCTAGTTTGGAAATCTTGATAAATCTCTGACTTTATGTTTTATTAAAATATTTTATGTGTGTAAAAACCAGAAGAGCGATGGAGTTGAATCTGCCACAAAGCTGGTTCAGTAGCAACTCTGTAAAACTATGTGAGGCCATTACTCTGCTGACATTCGAGCATCAGTTTGCTTCTTGAGGGACACAGAGGCTTTCCATGTAACACGCATGCTTGGGCTGGAGAGGCTGGGGCCAAGCCTGGTCAACACACAAACAGAAGTGTGGCCTTTATACATGCTGTTACTATTTGTCAGTGATTTGTCATGTCAGTGTCAGGATTCTCAATTCTACAGTAAGACAGGAGTTGGGTTCTGGAAGTAGACGCCAGCATTGTGGACTTTTCAGTTGAGAGGTATGCTGTGACAAGAAACAATCAGTGTGAAATTAATTGAAAATTCTGTTACGATTTCTTCTTTATTGAATAAAATAATGTTACCCAATAATGTTTTAGTTAATCTCTGAAGAAAACATGTAAAATGTTGTAACGGCCATCAGGCACAGGCCGTACCACAGAGAGGATGCATGCAGCACGTCTCACTCACCACGACTTCTTCGGAATGGGAATAAGCCTGAAACTTTTGCAGGGGAGATAACTTGTTGGGAGGTAACTCTTGTAGAACAATAGTTCCATCATGTTCACTGTGCAGAATTATGCGTTCATGGTGTTAAAAAACCCATCTGCATACACTGTGTTAAGTTTTTATATTTTTTAACTTATCCTGCATTACTCCGTATTGCATCTACTGCTGTCTTTTGACAGAGTGACAAACTGTGTGAGATCCAGCTGCTGAAGAAAGTTGTATCAACCGCCAGGAGGCAGCACCCCCCTCGCACAGTCCGCACGTGACCCGGAAGTCATGACGTCACTTCAAAACACATAACTGCTTTGTCACTTCCACTAAAGCTTATTGTTTCCCTATTTTGCGTTTTTCTACATTCATTGTATGCTGCTACATTGTTACCTGTTTATGGGTTGTTACCTTTAGGGTCTCCCATTCGTAATTTCTAACGTTTATTGCTCGTTTGTGGCTCTAGTCACAGTAATTTACAGGCGCAATGTTGTTCCCGCCATTTTGTTTCTTTCATGCCATTTTTGCCATTCACCACGTGGCCACATTATTTCGTGTTCTGCGTTTTGAATTCATTCTTTGGCTTGGGCAATACACAAAATATTTGTATTTTGTTTTGTTTAAAGCTTTGCCTTTTCGCTACCTTTTAGCGTAATTGTTTGCTCTCATAAACTTCAATAAAATACAAAATTTCCAAGTTAAGAATAAACAAAATCAAACACTGATCGAAGGCTGGCAGTTATTATTTCACAGGCACAACACAATGACTTGAAGTGCAGTAGATGGTGGTTTGTGAATGTGTCAACATCTACAAAGACGATGATTGTTCCCACTAAGGCTCTACTGTGTGAACTTCAACCAGTGACAATAGAAGACCTACCAGACGAGATGTTCAGACTCTGAGAGGTGGATTAACGACATTGAGCTGGAGGAAGATGGACTTAACCTTGATGAAGTTGCACGGGGACTTGACGTTATAAGGAGGTATGGTGACATCTACTCTAAACATGATAAAGATCTTGCAGATACCAACATGGTCAAGCATCGGATAGAACTCTATGATGACGTGCCCTTCAAGCAGAGACATTAGGGTATACCACCAGCGATGTATGACCAAGTTCAGAGTCATCTTCAAGAGCTGTTGTCCTCTGGTGTGATTAGACACTCTCATAGTCCTTGGTCATCCAATGTTGTGTTAGCCAAGGGCAAAGATGGCCGTTTACGTCTATGTATAGATTTTCGCCAGCTGAATAACAGGACCTTATGGACAGTTATGCTCTCCCAAGCATTGAAGAACTTGTAGATTGTCTCGGAGGGAACAAGTTCTACTCAGTGCTTGATGAAGAGCAGCTATTACCAAGTCGAGATAGATGATAACCAAAAGGAGAGAACGGCTTTTACTGTTGGTCCACTCGGATTTTTCGAGTACAAAAGGATGCCGTTCGGCTTGTCAAACGCCCCAGCGACCTATCGGCGCCTTACGGAGAAGTGTCTAGAGGGACAGAACTTGAAGATTTGCCTTATATACATAGATGACCTCATATTTTCCCGGACATACGCAGAGCATGTGGAGAGGCTGGAGCTCGTCTTTAGAAGATTACAAGAATGTGGACTAGTCGTCTAAGGCGCCGCAATTCGCTGTGTAGAGTTATGTCCCTTGGGCACGCCAGAAACCTATGATTGTGGGTTCGAATCCCGTTTCGCCCCAAATATGTTTCTAGGTTTGTCAGCACCATACACGTGCTCCTGGGTTTCACCGAAGGGGTAAACGTCTTAGACCTGCATCACTTCCTCCCACATTAAGCTGACACGCCGTGATATAACTGGAATAATGTTAAAAGCTGCGTTAAACCCAACTTACTCACTCGTCACACGGAGAAGCCGCTCCTGTCGCTGCTCTCCCGTACGTCGTTGAGATCGTGACTGTCGTTCAACTTCCTCGGAGGAATCTTTTCAACCAGTAGACATTTGGTCTGATTCAACTTGCCAACTGGCGACGTTCTCCTTAACCTCGTCGTTTTGAAGCGCCATGCTTTCTGAGAGATGACCTGCAGGATTCTATCGAAACAGAGCTTCTGGTGGACAACGTCTGTATCACAACTGGCAGATCTTCACTGTTCAGGCTCATTTAGCCTGTTTGACCCCTTCGTCATAGGCTACCGGGTACCCACTTCTCAAGATCAAGACTGGTCTCGCATATCATGGTGTATAAAAGAAGCATATCGCCCTGCACCGGCCCCACCATTCGATGACGTCATCCACTGTCTTCTTCGTCCACATCGCCGGCACTAACGCTCCTCTACCCTGCCTTAGCGCCAGCGTTTCTCAAAGAGACTAGTCCTGTGTGCTCCCCGAGTTTTCCACGGCGCTCCCGCTGCTCCCGGTGGAGATTGCACCTCATTTCCGGCTCCAATGCCGCTTCCTCGGCTACTGCGCAGAGTGATTTATATGTCACGTGTACTCCGGCTGTCAACTGACGTTGGCGAGCGGTGCAATGTATTTCTGCAGATTGGTTTGCATGCTTACATGTATGCATGGTACAACCACTCAACCAGACGCCTGTTGCAGTCCATCCATGCACAGATGATGGAAACGATAGACCTCCGCTGCCAACACGGCAGCTGACTGTTGCTGACTTTTCAACTTTGCAGTCTTGTAGACGACCTCATTTACCGTCTTCCAGCTCTTCCACTGCCGCTTCCACCTTGTCAGTGGCTCGTGTTCTGGGATTGACCACACCAGCCCACGTTGTGATCGACTGTGATCCGGAGATCAACACCACTGGCACAGCAACAGTCTCGAGATAAAAGTACTTATCCAGGACGTCACTTGCTGGCAGAGAATTCTCGGCCACGCCCTGTTGATCATGTCCATTGACAACATCACCATGGTGTGGTGTTTGAGGAACCAGGGTACTCTCCACTTTCCGTCCCTGCTAAACCAGACCTTCCGCTTCCTCGACTTGGTTGTCTGCCTGGACCTGTACTTTCTCGTCTTACACTCACCAGGTTGAGAGCATGTTCTGGCACAGGCTCTGTCCAGGCCGGACTAGGTGGAGCCCACCGAATGGAAACTCCACCCAGAGGTCTTCGCCAGACTATGTCAAACTATCGACTGCCCAAACATCGATCTGTTCGCCAGATATCAGAACTGTCAGCTGTCGCCTTACATTTCACCGGTGCCGGTTCCGGCCTTTGTGGCAGTCGACGCCTTCAGTTTTCCCTGGGAAGGATAACACGCGTACACTTTTCTGCCTCCGGTTCTCCCTGCCACGGTTCTCCAAAGATCCAGGCCACTCGGCACCTATTACTGATTTTGGTTTGTCGACCTTCGAAACATCGCCAGAAACAATCCCCTGGAACTTCCGCTGTGGTCCAACCTTCTGCTCCACCCACACAGTCGTTTGCCAGACCCTAAAACCAGCACGGTTTCGGCTATTCGGCTAGAGTGGCCAAGGCTGTGGCTTCAGCTCATCGTCCACCTACACGGGGACTGTATGATGATAAATGGTGCTTGTTCCAGGCATTCTGTTCAGACCACTCCACTCGTCTTCCTTCTACAACCTAAGCATCAGGGCACTGAAGGTTTCCAACGATATTCAGCATGATCTGAGTACTATTTACAACTGCAAGAAAAATGAACATATTTCTTAAACGGTTTTTACCTATACTCACAAGCGGCACAATCCCTAAATTAACATATCATTTTTATATTGAAACCACTGAAAATACATAATCAACTTTAACTTACTGAATGACATGGAAATTATTTCGGCAGAACATCTCAAAACGAATGGATTGAGATTCGAACCGGTACAGATTGCAACAATCTTGCTGACTACACCCTCAGATGCACCAACTCGGTGAGCCCTGAGGATGGTTTTTGTTTTGTAAACTTGTTGTTCATGTTCTTTGTTAAAGCTGAATGTCCAATTTTGTCTCCTACATGCTCTCAGTAAGGGTAGGAATTTGCATTCTTTTAACAATTTTTTTAATATGTTTTCATTACAAGTATGGCATAATTCTGGTTGACTTTGAAGGTCATGGTTACCACATGAAATTTACAAGCAAGCGTTTTAGGATAGCAATAACATGAGATTTCATGCTAGGGTATTTATCCAACTGGGAACAGCTCTTGAATAAGTCACTGTTGACTTTGTTAATGTTTAAGCTCACCACAATTGAGAAATGAACATGTGTGAAGTACTTAAATTTGGACAACTTTCATATTAAGAATTTTTTTTAATCACTTTTTATTTGTGTCAAGAACATAAAAAAGAATATAGTTTAATCATCAAATACTGAAATAGCAAATGGGTAATTTATTGAAGTTAGGGATAGGGCCAGAAGTATCAGATAAAAACCGATTGATTTCTCTTCTGAATAAATTATATTATAAAACCATAACTTGACTACTAACATTCTCACAGCTAACTCTCTCAAGCCTCTGTTCAAATATTAGACGCCCCTGCCTGTGACTTCAGTAATAATATATCTATCTGTTAGCTGGAACCTCTTCTTCTCGAGGCAAGAGAGTTAACTGACTATTAAAATCCAGTTTCCACCCTTTCCGAACTAGGCTGGTATTATGGAGTTAGATTTTGGATTGACTAACGAGTCTATGCATAGTCCAATCAAAATCGCGCAATGAAATCGAATTCCGGTTCGTAAGCCGTCATGCAGAGTTCGGCCGATTGTAGGATTTGCAAAGCATGTGCACCGCCAACTCGTTGTCACAGATATTTTCTAAATCTGTTCATGTTTTTAATCAAGGTGCTCACGTGATTTGATGCACTTCGTGATGTAAGACCCGTTTTTTTGGACGGATCCCTTCGAACCACTCCACTCGTCTTCCTTCTACAACCTAAGCAT